GTTTATAAACTATGACATTTATAAATGTATGAATCATATGGTGAAAAACTGACTTTGAAAAATAAATCTGTTCTTTGTTTCTTATAAAAGGCTAAATAAAATAAAAATATTGCTGGTAATTTTTGACTGTGTAACTTTACAAACGGCACCCCATACTTCTCGCTCTCGACACTAAATGCTCAATTTTTAAGACGAAAAAAGAATGGGTGCACTCGACTTACTTCTTTAGGTGATTCAGCTTTGATGAACTGTTCGTAGATTTTTTTAGCTCTTGAGGACATTCGAAATGAAGACTTGATCTTCTTGTAGTCCTCACAGGTCAGCCAGAACTCGATATTCTCGTCGCTGTATTCTGATTTGAGGAAGTTGCGAAAAGTTGCCAGTCCGTCTGAGAGAMGAACAAAAATAAATAAATAAATAAACATCAGGTATGGACCAAAAGAATAATGTCGCTTTTCAGCGTATTCTTTTAAACTTTAATTTGAACAAACTTAATTTTCTACTTTAGCAAAAGCGCTCATTCCTGGGGGAAAAAAATAAACTCACATTTAGACTCAAGAAGTCTTTCCAGTGACTGTGACCATTGTTGGGTATCTTCTAAACTTAGCCTGCTGGGAGGGAATGCAAGTTAGATTACTCAAACAGAATCCAATTTGGGGGGAAAAAAAGAAAAAGAAAAGGAAAAACTCTTCATAAGCTGCAAGAGTACMGAGGCAGTCCAGTCTCACAAGCATCGCAGATGTGCTTATCAAATTCATACAAAAAAAAAAWGTTAGACCCTGGAAGAAGCTGGCATGTATGCTGTGCCAAAGCAAACATGGAGTCTCTAGATCCTTTGAATCCATTCATGATGCCATAGATGGAAATGATTGGAGCAGACTGGCTATTTTAAAACCAAAACGTATGCAAAACACTTGACAGGGAAACTTACCTGTCAGGGCAGGATGGCTGTGTGAACATGCACTGCAGTCGACACATGAAGTTCTTTCCGCTGTGTAGAAACGAGATATATATGAGGAACTGTTTCATTCACTGCTGTGAAGTGAGTTTAGGTCTGTCAAAGGACGATAGGAATAGTAATATAAAAAGRCAGCAGGTGGATGCAAACTTTTAGGACTTGTTAAAACCAGAAATTATTCGTAACACTCTCGTGTTCACTCATTTGTTTGTGTATTACAGCCGTAAGCAACGTGAAAGTAAATCGTACAAGTAAATCATCCTGTGAGAATGAATATCACAGACCAAGTCAGCACACCTCAGAGGAGAAATACTCACATCGTCTTGTTTCTCCCACTGTCCTCTCTCTCCATGATGATGTGATGTGCGTTGGGTAGTCTGGCAATTAAGCTGGTCATGGTTTTGTTAGGACCACCGGCTCAGGCTCTCGGTCCTGGTCATGCTGTGGCTGAGAGGCACTTAAGAGGGTTCCCTCTGCGACGTAGCCTTTTTATATCTGGGTTTTGCTGCGGGCTGAGGCTGCTGGGATACCTCAGCAGCTCAGCCCAGACTAAAGAGGAAGCACCCCTTCCTCCTCCTCCGGTTGCTCTTCTCCTCCTACTTCACAGTTAGAAACAACACACACTCACGTTGACGTTTTGCCTCCCTCCTCTTGATGCCGAACTCCCTGTTATGTCTTGCTTTTCTTTTTTGCTGTTCATTCCCCTCCGCTGGTGCTTTTKCTTTTTTTATGCTCGCCTCCTTACTGAACTGGCCAAACAAACAGCACCCTCTCAGACTGAAAGCGTACAGTGTGGATGTTATTTTTAGTCGAACAGAGCAGATGCAAATGACAAGCGACCGTGATAGGCAAATCACCACCTTCTGATGTGAGAGGTATAGACAAGTCTGTAAACYGGGACCGAAAAGATGTAAATTCAACGGGAAGGGCTGTTTTTCTTTGCGAGAAATGTACGATGGATTGAACCCACGAAACGAAAGGCTTTTGTGGAAACGTATGCAACGTAGGGCCACAGCCTTGTGTGAAATAAAAAGAGGAAACGGCAAATAGATTTCGACAGAGGCTGAGCGAGGCAACAGGAAGTCAGAAACACTGGCAGGATATCATGACCATTCTCCCATGTAAACCATGAAACTAGTGGTTAAACTTTCAGCAAGACCAAAATGAACAGAAATCTTTCAATAGAGGGAAGAATTCAACTAAAATATGCAGATTGTACCATAAACAGGCCTCTTGTTGTTAGCAAATGTTTTAGACGACAAAATACAAAGTGATGCATAACTTATGTCAGTAATTCTGGTTACTTTTAAAGAGCCAGTTCTCATCAAAATCATACATTAAAACCATCAAATCACAGCTGGGAAAGACGTCTAACAACTTTAGCAACTAAAATGATATATATATGGTTGCCACTGCCAATATTAGCAGACTCATACATTCTKGAGAAGCRCAAACATTTCAGATTTCTGCCTGTTAGCTGTTCAACACACTGGGAACTGACAGGGGTGAGGAGAAACAACCAGGGTCTGCCAGAGGTCAACTTGAAGTCTGAGAACTTGTAGCATTCTGGGCTGTGTCTTGGCAAGGGACTAGCGTTAGCTGATGTTAGCATGAGGAGTGCTGACCTTCACATTTTCCATTTGCTTCAAATCAAGGATGATTGGTGTCAGATAGTTTGGCTTGTATTTACATCCATGTTCCCGGTAGATGGGTTGCGAAGGATGAAATGTGCGGGCTTCAGCGTCTGACCCTGAACTCATTGTTTGCAAACATATTCTGAAAGCCGTTTGTCTTGTATTTAATTGGCTCAAATGGTTTTCATTTGTGCCAGTTTGATGCTGTAGGAGATATTTGTTACAAGAACCAGAAAGAAGTGCAAATTATTTAATATTGCTATGGTGCGATCTATCACGTGCTGGTTTCAACCAGTGGATTTTACAAGATGGGCCATTTTCYCTCAGAAAAATCTTCAGTACCAGTTATAAAAACTGCCCAGTCGTGTGGCTGACTATAGGACAGAAATTCTTAACCTATGGGCCGTGAGCGCCACCTTGAGGGCCTCAAAAGAACAAGAGTTTTTACCTTTGGGCCGCAGAGGGCCGTTGGACCGCATTGATTTTGAATAAGGTGCAATACACTTTCCCACCACTAGTAGCAGTAGTGTGCCACTCAGATGTTTAACAACTTTTTTTAATATGTAGAAGAAAAACCTTAGAAACCTGGCGAAAATGGAAACTTATGTTAAAAGAAAAGTACAAGCAAAAATGAAGGCAACATGTCAAAAAACACCAAAGTTTGTCACGAATATGAAGTACAGCTTCTGGTTCTATCATGCAATATTTTAAAAGTTCAAAACATTATCAAATACAGATACTGCCATCTTTTAATTTGCACTTCATCAAGTTATCTTTTGTTGTTTATTTTTTTAAATATTTTAATGTATTTTAAATAAACTTCAAACTTGTCAAAAAGCTGCTGTTACTGTTATTGTTTGTCACTAATATGAACAGTAGCTTGGTTCTACCATGCAAAAATTTAAAAAGGCTATGTTTTCATTTGTACTTTATCAAATTTATTTTTATATATTTGTTTTGCATTTGAAACTTTTGAAACATTTTTAATTTATTTATTTTATGCCCACAATTTTATTTATTGAATTGTCTATTTTTGTTATTGTTTATGTTAAAAAATTGTTATTTTTGTGTTGATAAGTTGATCTGTTGACTGAACATTGTATTTTTCAAATAATTGTTGGGGGCAGGTTACACTATAAAAAATGTTTGTCATAATCATGTCTTGTGATTATTTGAAAGAAGTTTTATTTTTAAAACGTAAGTGTATTTAATTTAGTTATAATGCAAATACAATCAAAATTACACCAAGACTTAGAATAATTATCATTTTGATCCATACATTGGTAATGTGTGACTGGGCCTTGTGCCACTTTATGCTCAATAAATTGGGCCCAGAGGTCAAAAAGGTTAAGAACCCCTGGTTTAGGAACATATTTGTTAATTTCCTCAAGAGCTGGGATTCTTGACATTGTCATGCCTAAAGCCTGCCTTCAGTTCCATGTAAAGCATGCTGATTTGTCCAGCTAACATAAGTAGTCTTGAAGCAGCTGCGGCTCAGTCACCCCTCAGGCAGATGTTAAACTCCAGGGTCATATTTATGTTAGGAACTTGTTAATCAATATTTCTAGTCCTGTCATGATTATTGCCTTCGTTTTTATTATATGATCTTTTTCATGTGATATGTAAATCAGTCTGTTTTGCTGTTTGTGATTCTTGTGTTTTATTTTCTTTATTGGCGTTAACATCGGTATCAGACGATGGTCTTTTTTTAGCRTATCTATCAATCCAATAAGTAAAACTGGGTCAATATTACGTCTGATAAAGATTTCCCACTTTTTAACTTTGTGTCTTGGTTTTGGGAGGSGAAATGGTTGGTTGAGCAGTATCTGTTTGATCAGGATAGTGACACTGCTCAGCCAGGAATAATTAAAGTAGAGAGCCATGTCAGTGCTTTGGTCAGTTTTTACAGTATTGAAAAAAGACACAAGAGTGTTTGTGTAATAGTAAATATCAGATATCAGCCATAACAGCAATATTAATATCGGATATTGATAATGGCTGAAATTTTTATATCGGTTCATCCCTAATGTTCTTAATCCCTGTCTTGTGTTTCCTGTTCCGTTTCATCCACTTTAGCCTCAGTGTTTTTTCCATCCTGTCACTCACACCTGTCCACAGTTTGTAATCCACCAGGTGCTTCCACTTCTCACTCATCCTCTGCTGTATTTAACTGGTCTCCTCTCTTTGCCCCAGGTCATTGCCTGTTTCTGATGTCCCCCRTTTTCATGTTTTTCATTGTCAGTACTTTTGTAAGTTAGTTGCTGCTACTGAAGCTTTTTCTTTCATTATTTAATGAAACACTTTTTGTTTTACCTTCAAACCCTCATGTCTGCCTGCGTTTTAGGTTCAACCGTTTCATTATAAGCAGAGGTGATTAGTAACATTTTCTCTGCATTTACTTGAGAATCCTTTTGAAAAATAGTGTACTTAGGAGTAGTTTTACCACACTGTTCTTTTTTCCTACTTGAGTAATAAAAGTATGAAGTATCGCTACTCTTACTTGAGTAAAATTTCTGAATACTCACCGCAAGTAACTTAACTGATAAAACAAACATATTTTAACCAGAAATGAACCAGAGCGAAACACAATTTATGTTGAAATGAGACCTTGTTTTCGTATATACTGTTCAAAAAAATAAAGGGAACACCCAAACAACACAATCTAACAGTCAATTCAGGAAGCAACACTGATTGGCTAACAATGTCACAAGCTGTCAGTACATTCAGCTTTGTACAGAACAAAATATTCAATGAGACTATTTCATTCATTCAGATCTAGGGTTGTTATTTGAGTGTTCCCTTAATTTTTTTTGAGCCGTGTATTTATTACAAACTGTAGTTCCAGAAGTTTTGTAATGAGAAAATCTATATGTTATTTTGTAATTATGTTATTTGTATTAATTTTCTTAACCTTTTGTCTTTCAAAACACCAGAATTTGCAGATAACTTTCTATTTTTCCCATCAGTCTGATGACATCGCTTTAAAATATTAAATGTTAGGATCAGTTTCTCAGTAGTCTAGTCCATATATTTTGTTTACTCAAAGAACCACCTCTGATTACAAGTCCATCACAAAGTAATACTTGTGAAGACCAATAACACAAACACTGAGATTATTCTAAATTGTTATTTTTTATCTTATTTTGCTAAATTTTGATCTCTACATCAGATTCCTGCAAGCTGTACATTTTCCATACTCTTTCACTCTGGTTAGAAGATACCGGATTATGAGATTCTACACATTTAGCATTGAGAAAAAAAAGTACTGGTACTCATTTTTAATATAAAAAATGTCACATTAATAGCTTCAAATTGACAAAAATGATCAATTACAAATATGCAACTTGCACAAGAATACTGCATCTGTCTATTTTAGTGATATCCCGTATATATTTGGTTTTCAGTGGGACGTGCTAAGTAAATATGTTWCAATGCACTGCAGCTACTGGACTGTATTTGTGTAAAATATGAWAAAAATCAGTGTTTATGAATAAAGACAATAAAAAAGACCACTAATCTAAATGTGGAAGACCTTAAAGTCCAACTGGAACATTTTAAGCCAATTATCATTGACTAAAAGCTGCTGCCATAGGCTGCCCTATTACAAACTGTCCTTCAGTTTGGCTTCACTGATGCTGCTTTCCTTCTTTTACCCAAACATGGTTACAGGCGCTGTGCTGTTACAAGGAGACCCTAAATACAGAACTGATATTCTTTCTGTTACATTAGTTACTGCACACTCTGCATGAATTTAAGAGGTGTTCCTCAAAGTACCCAACATCTTTATCATATTTGTCCCAACTGTTTGGACCAACTCTGTGCCATCGATAGAACTTGCTTCCTTTCTAGTTCCCATGGTAGCACCGGGCAATGAGAAAACACTGGCAGCTTGTGTGTGAAGAGTAGTACACCATGTGATGAGGGAGATTTGAGAACTTTGTGATTTAGCAGGAACAACCCCTGACACCTCGGTGTACTCAGAGTTACTGACGTAGATCTTTGAAATAAATGGCGTTGCTCATAAATAGAAGCTCATAAGGCCTCTTATTTGTAGTGGAAACTGTTAATCCTTTAAGTCCGGAGCCAAAAACTACACTGATGTGCCACTAATCTGCAGCAGTAAATAAAGTCATGCGATGCGGCCCTAACTTATCTTGCAACTGTCAGAGCAGCAAACCTTCTSCTCTCACAAATGAAGCTCTATTCAATGTTTATGTTCACAAAAGTCACTTGTTTAAGGCTACTTGCTGAGTCGCAATTTGATACGAATGTCAACATGAAACATGACCCACAAGATATTTTTTATTTACTGACAGTAATCTTGTTTCCATCCAGTTGTAGAGTGAATTTTTATCAAACTTTTCAAAATTCGCAAAAAATTAAATAAATAAAAATTTTAATCTAGACTGTTTCCATCTAGTTTCCCTCTCGACTGTTTGATGCGAATAAACGAGGCTACGCAACGCGTGATTACGTCGGACGAGGCTACGCAATGCGTGATTACGTCGGACGAGGCTACGCAACGCGTGATTACGTCGGACGAGGCTACGCAATGCGTGATTACGTCGGACGAGGCTACGCAATGCGTG